TTACGCCACCTGTCCCATTGCAAAACCGCTGGACATTAGTCCTGCTTACAGCCTGCCATTCATCTGACAATGTTCAGTGTTGTTCTCTACAAATGATGTCAGCATATAATGTGGCATTTAATTCTAGGACACGACCAAATGCCAGCTGATTCATTGCGCCGGTCGTCATATGCGTTGACAGGCGAGAAGCGGCATTTTTCACAATTTGCACATTACATAGCTGCTTTTAGCTGGGAAATATGAACGTCAGCTGTACTGTACCATATTGTATCTTATAACTTAGTACGGCTGGCTGAGACGCTGCGCTTGTCGTGAAAGGTCTGTTGATTATGTATATTCCGGCGTTTTAATTTTAGCTGCGTTTTATAGCGGCGTTTTTCGTGAAAAAAAATATGAATAAATAGTTTGCGATTCCAAAAAACCATGATAGGTACTATAAAAGACTTTCACTCAGAATGACAGCTTAAAACATGGTAATGTCCTCCAGACCGATCGATACTAAAAAAAACGATATCACTCAGGTCCCGAAAGATTTCAACAGCCCTAACAGTGTTGAAAAATATGAGAATTGAGGACAAATGATGTTTTGCAACACATCAAGCACAATATAGCCTTCCACATCCAAACTGGGCTCTGCTTAGAACATTGCAATTATTCCCATAACTTTGTAGCATGGTATATTTTAAGCGTGGCTGCACATGGGAAATAATCCACAGATCACGCACTAGGTCTCCAGTCAAGGTTCCTTCAAGTCAGTACTTATATAATCCATCATTCACCTAATGGTGTTACACGCGTAAATACTTTTGCGTGCCGAGTGCGGCTTATCGTGTCACGTATATATCAACGTTCTCTATAATCTCCCAAGCTGCACAGAAAACGATTGTTCATTTGAAGGTGTGTCTTGCATATTTACGTATTTAGCTATGCACTGGGGATTAAGGCTGTCACCAACCCACTTAGCAGGTCAATCCAATCCGATCCAAGATCAAATATAGGCAGGATTTTGCTTGTCAGGACACTCCCCTTTAACGTTGGTACAGTGGATGTGCGACTTCGCTGAAAATTGCTAGAGCCGTTTGATAATTAATTCAACGACAGCTGAACATGAGTCACAAAACAGCCGGCCCATTGATGAAACTTGTATCCATGTGGAAAAACTGCGAAATAATCCGTTAAGAAAACTTACTATGCGGTATGCATCATGTGCTGGCTTAACATGGCAAAACATGAGCAAAATACCAACTTTTTACCGAATTCTGAGCCTCTTTTACATTAGTGAGGATTCATAATACCAACAAAATACCAAACTCTTCCTCACTCACTCGTCTCGACTGGCTTGCATATTGTGATTTGAAAGCTAGTTCTTTTTCAAAAATTTCTTAAGTTTCGTATTTGTTATGTATGAAACACCGAAACGCAAGCCACTAAAACTTGGATTGATCCTCCCCCGTTGTGACTAGCGTGGCGGTCTTTTTTCGATCACATCACTATTGAGATGCAGGTGGCACCGATACTATCACGCCTGTTGTGGCCACCGTAAATTATACCTTATCACAAATCTAAACCCAAGTAACGGCATTCACGACCACGCTCTCAAAGCCAGCGTACTTTGGGTGTAATCTGGCAAATATTGACTGGAGCTGGCCCTCCGAAATTTACTTAGGTCTACGTACGAGTAGCTGATCAGTGATCAAATAGCATACCTCGACTGGCCTGTGAGTGAAGTTTGTGCAGTGTGCGCCGCGCGTCTCTATCAGAACCGATACTCGGCGTGGCTCGGTTCTGGTAAACGTGATTTTTCTCTGCTTTCCACGACCAGCCGATTATTGTGACGTGGCTGAGGCCGAGAATGCTTGAACGACGCCAGAACAGATGCATTTTAGCATCACATCATGCGAATTTGTGAGCATGAGTCAGTGCGTGTGTGAACGTAAGCCACTCCTATAGACCTATCACGTACAGATTAGAGGGCGCAAATTGCGATCGCTGCATTTTTTTTTTTTTGCACTAGCTCTTAGAGTGCGAAACTATAGATATATCACATAGGTAAGCACACTTAATGAAGACGCATTGCATTAGAAACCAGATTGACCGCCCCTGATGTTATCATCCACTCAAAATCATTCGTTCTCCGAGGTTTACTCTGCAACAGATGATATGAACTTTTTTGGGTAAATGGGTGCCATCACTTGCATATCACACCAGTCAGCGCTCTTTTCCTGACACTGCCCCCGAACCTTTGTGCCGCTCCTCTCGATTCCAGGAGAGGAGGCTCGATAAATGCATGCTTTGTTTCCTTCCCTATCAGCTCCCGCAGTTTCCTCTGGTACCCTGCCGCTCTAGTTCCCAGACCTGGGGCCGCCGACCCCTGCAGATCCCGGTGTCCCGGCGGTCGGTCGACGCAGGCACGCGGCCTTGCCAGCCGATCGATATCACTGCTCCACCACCGGGCCCATCGGCACGCGCGTGGGAACCGGCCTTTAAAGCGCTCAATGGCGCCGACACGGGCGCACGTGCCGCTCGCATTCCGGAGCATTGAAGCGCCGGGCGCAGCACCTGACCCGGTGGAACGCCGCGGGCCGGGCCGGGGGAGCCGGCGCCCCGGGCGTCCCGGCGCCCGGGGCGGCAGCCGGCCCGCGGGGCGCGCGGCGACGGCCCGCATTCCGACGCAGGGGACCACACCTGTCGGAATGCGGTCCGGCCGACGCCGTGGGCGCGTCGGAATGCACGCGACAGACGGCCGTCGGTGCTTTGGAATTCACGCGTGCAAACGTCGGCGTCGGCGTCGTCGTCGCCGGCGTCGGTGTCGAAACGAACAGCGGCAGCTGTGGAGGTGCGGTACGGTGAGCGCGGATGGCCAGCGCAGGCACCGGTGTCGATATGAGCACCATGAGGTGTTCCCCAAGGCTGCGCGGCCCAAAACTGTGTCAGACGGCTGGTGGGCGGCCTGATGGAGCCCGAGGCGGCGGTAAAAAGTGCCTTACTCTCCAGCTGCCACGCACGAGCCGTGAGGCACCTCCTCTTGCTCGAGTTATGTAAATTACCGGACGCTACACAATGGAGCGCGCTGCCAGGTATGCGGCGACTAGCCAGAGCGGTGGGCGGAGAAAGGTAGAAAATTGGGAGATCGGATAAGGCAGGCGTTGGGCGCTGCGCGAGCCAGGTCCACAGGGTATTTCCTGTCGTGTGAGATCGACTTTTATGGCGTGAAATTGGGTCGATTTACGGCTGATACACATGTAAGCGGGCCGTTACCTGAGTGGTAGTAATTAGAAGGGACAGCGAATAGTTGGTCAGCCGCACAATGCGTCGGATGACTCGGACCGAACTAGATCACAACACGAAAGGGCAATCGAAACGGCCGTTTGACGAATTGCGTTTGGACGTTTGGTATTCGCCGCGGCTGCTTGTGGCTCCATTGTACTGTCAGGTGGAATAAAGCACCGCAAAACATCGCGGCAGATTACTGTGAACGAGATTCATGAGCTTTTTTACAGACGGTGATGTGAAGTCAAACTTTTTGTGCACGTATGGGATGTGTCATACAGACTTAGCGAGTGCTCGTATGGTAAGGTATGGTATTCTATAATGTAGGTAAATGACTGATTCAAGGTGAAACCGAAAAATTGTGACATTTGGTTCTCCCGTTCTCTGAAAAAGCGTGCGACTTATATGTGATATTCAGTGTTAAAAAGGAAGAGCAACACGACTAACCTAGCCTGCATTTCGGTGAATGCTTACATCATCTGCTCAGTGCTTTCAGTGGCCCATTCAGTGTTGTCATTCCAAGCCAAATTGATGGACGGTATTGGTGGCCGCTTAGCATAATCTGCAAGAGACAAGATAGTAGCAAAATGGTTAGCGACGAGCGGCAAACGCCATACATCGTGACATGAACGGCTATCTATTATTCAGCTAGCCCGGCCCTGCATCCGATCAGCGAAATCATTTGTCATTTGTCAAATACCGCCGTGTCCCCACACTGTCCAATGATATGTAAGCTTTCTCCAAGAACGATGATATGTGATGTAAGTTGTAGGCCGTGCTGTCCGATTATTATGTTCGGTAGTGCAAAAACGTCATTGGCTTATTTTGAGCGTGAAAGCTTGCAATTCAATGGAAAAATAAACGTACAGAGCGAAAAAAGTTAGCAGACAGTAGGCACTCAGTGACCATTTGCCAGCACCCATACACCTGTTCTGCCAAATTGCTGCAATTCTGAGTTCCGTGCATTTGAGACGGCCCATCGTATGTATATTGACATCGTAGGCGTTTGAGATGGCCCACTGTGTCCGTGTCCTACAGAAGCCCGTGGTCAGAATTTATTAAAAATACGTAGGACCTGCCGATTGTCGAACTCAATATGACTCATCATGATTGTTGTTTAGAGATAACCTTGCCGGCATAGGATTCATGGATATTTCTATTCTTATTTTATTTTCACTGCGCTGCCATGTGCCGTGTGCGGATGCCACATGGCCGAGGTCAATGAGGAATCTTTCCTCCATAGCTAAGATGGCTCCACGCAAACACCACACATGGCCCGCTAATCCAGCGCCTGTCCTTGTGCTGTCTGTCAGTGGTGCCGCTGTCTTCAGAGGCAACCCTGCGCCCTCATCTCCCCCCTCCCGGCAGCCCGCGTCAGCAGTCATCGGAGCCGGCCGAGCGCGCGGTCGGCGCTTTTTCCCGCCGTCTTCGGGACAGCGCCGCGCCGCGTCCCTCCGTCTTCAGGCTCCGTCTCGGGCCGGCCGCCCGCTGCGCGAGCACTGCACGTGCGCCCTCCCCCTCCCCTCACCCCGCCCCACTATACGGCGCCCCCACTACGCGCGGCCGGCGGCGGCGGCGGCGGCGGCGGCGGCATCTGGGCGCCAGGTGCGTCGCGCCTCGCGCGCTGTGGGAATGTCTGCGTTCCCACGCCGCGGCGGCCGCCCCCCGCGCGCCGGGCGCCGCGCGCACCTGGCGGCCGCCGCTTAAAACCGGCCGCCGCCGCCGCCGTCGGCATTACGGTCTGAGCCGGCGAGCGGTGAGGAGCTCCAGCGAGAGAGGCGATATCAGTGAGCGAGACACGTGCTGACGAGCGGTGAAACGAACAGAGACGAGATGGCACCCTGCCAAGTGATCCCTTCGGAGTCGGCGAGCCCCAGCGACTACAAAAAGGTGAGCATCGGCTGCAGTTTTTTATTACAGCATCTTAAAATCTACTTTTTGCAATTTGTACTTTAAAAATATTTCGAGTTCAATGCTTTGTTCTCCTTTTACGTTTCAACGCTTAGTTTCACCATTAGTCGCATGGAATTGTTCTCGCCCATTGCCTGCTGTCACTGTTTGCACATTGGACAAGGTCTTGACGGTCTCTTTCCGCTGTTCCTCAGGTTCTGAAACCTCTGCTGGAGCGTCGGCGTCGGGCGCGCATCAACCGCTGCCTGGACCAGATGCGCGACCTCATGGTGGACGCGCTGTCCATGGAGGGCGACAGCGCCGCCAAGCTGGAGAAGGCCGACGTCCTGGAGCTGGCTGTGCGTCACCTTCAGAAGCTGCAGGCGCAGCGGCGCGCCGCCGCCCCCGCTGCCCCGGCCGCGCCGGCCGCCAGCCCTCAGATCGAGCTGGATCGGTACCGCGCCGGGTTCTCCGCCGCCGCCACCGTCGTCAGCCGGGCCCTGGCCTTCACCCCTGGCGTGGACGTGGAGCTGGGCACCCGCGTGATGCAGCACCTGGGCAGCTCGTTCCGCGCGCTCGACCAGCGCCGGCTGTCTGCGCCGCTGACGGTGGAGGTGCCCCAGTTCCGCACCCGGGTGCCGGTGACGGCGTGCCCGGCCAGCCCGGCCGACAGCTGCAGCTCTGGCTACTCGAGCGGCGCCGACAGCGGTCTCCTCACCGTGGTGACTCCGGTGTCTGCGGCCCCGCGCGCGCCGGCCTCCTCCCAGTGCAGCCCCAGCCCGCTGAACCTGAAGCTGGGCGACGAGGGTATGTGGCGGCCATGGTGAACGGGCTGTCGCAGCTCGGCGCTGCCGGAGGGCTTTCAGAGACTGCCCGGCCATGGGGGCCGAGAGGGGCGTGCTGTGATATTGGGCCGCTGTGATAACTGTTTGCTTTTTGTGTGCTTTGTTTGTAGTCAAGTTGTTTGTGCAGAGGTGACGTTCAGTTTCATTCAAGGCTGTACAATACACCTTATGATGTGTGTTATATCATGCTTTTTTAGCTCATGGGTAACTAGAGGATGTAATAAGGGGACGGTCCTCATTGTACGAACATAACCGGTACGCCTGCTGAAGCGTATACAGAGCTGCACGATCACGCACCGATACAACAACTATCCGAGAGCGTGACCGCAGCAGAAGGCTAACGTAGGCCGTAGGTAGGTACAAAAAAGGTTGCATCATGAGAGGAATAATTTTTAATTAACGCGCAACCGACGGACGGGCCACCAGCGCGGGAAGGAATAATGCTTATCAAAGTTAACGGGTTTAGAAACAACACGTGCATTACATCAACACATCAGGGCAGTCGCACTCAGGACTATCACAGGTTAAATTGAGAGATCCGATTGTGCGCCATTAGATAATTACGCAAAACATTATTCCCGATTCTCTGCTAAAACGCGGTAACGAGATAACGTCGCGTAGTGCGTACCGAAATCAACCATAACTAATAACTATACTGGTTGACAAGACGAGCTCCCTTCCCTAGGCGCATAACCTGAACCAATACCCAGGAAGGACCGTCCGTCGAATACCGGCTACAATCACGGATATTTTCGCTGAAGGAGTACATACCTTACCTTTATGATACTAGCAAAAGACAGCGCGAGAGCGTGAATTATCCGATGCAACTGCAACAGCAAGAGTTGGGCACAAAATGAGCTTTATAGTCGTCGCGCCCTGAATCCACAATAAACAACAGCAAGGCGATGTTACCGTAACATTTAACATTAACATCGAGCCTAACGTGAAGGTACCGCCCTATGGAATTCTGAATTCTAAATACTTGTGAGCTAAAAGGAACTTTTTTTGCCAGACTAAGAACTTCATGAAATGATGAAATCTGAGGGGTGATTTGAAATCAATAGACCACCCTATTTTAATTGGAGGCTACGTAAACAGCGAAAACAGCTTAAAACAAACAGCGAAAACAGCTGGCTTTTGGTTTTAAGCCAGCTCATGGTACTGATATGGCAATATATGCAGTCAAAGAAATTTCAGATTATTACCTTAGAAACAATAGTGCCGTGTATGTTTGTTTTCTGGATGCATCAAAAGCTTTTGATAGAGTGAATCACTGGAAACTCTATGACAAACTTTTAAAGCGTGGAATTGATAAAAGCCTCGTTAAACTTCTAGTTGAATGGTACGGTACTCAGCTTTTTCACGTCAAATGGGGTGGTGTCACAACTGGCGGTTTTAATGTAAGTAACGGCGTGAGGCAGGGAGGTATACTTTCCCCCTTCATGTTCAATGTGTATATAGACTCTCTTTCTTCAGCACTGGATGAAACTGGCGTTGGCTGCCGTTATTTAGGCAGCATGAATCACATTGCTTATGCTGATGATGTCATACTTCTTTCGCCATCTCACCATGGCTTGCAAGTGCTCTTGAATACTTGCGAACGATTTGCAGAGGAGTATGATATCAAGTACAACCATGGGCGGCGCCACCGGGGGGGACGGGGGGGACAGGTCCCCCGCTATCGAAAGTTAGGGGGGTACAGTACCCCCCTATCGGCGAGGCCCGTTCAGTTGTTGATAATAATGCATTGTAGAGTTATCCGTCGCATTTAATGCATCGTTTGTTAATCAAGGCAGGTTCTGAATAAGATTGCTGTTGGGATGTATCGCAGGGGGTCCTGGCCATCTGCAAAAGGTGTGGAGCTGTGATGCCTGTAGTTATAAGGTAATCGGCAGGGCCTCGGGGATCGTGCCCCCCCCTTTTTGGGGCGCCAGGCAGGGTTATTACCTCCCCACCCCACTGCCAGACCCCATTGCCGACAAAATCAAGTTCACTGAAATTCCATAGATTTCCGTTACTATATGGATATTTTCCATTCCTAATAAGTCAAATTCAAGCATGGCAGTTATACCACAGGAACCATTTGAAATCTATGCCATTTAACCCCAGCACTTGTGGGGAGAAGTGTTCGGATAGATCACAGGCACGACCAAAAAAGCACGCAGTAAGTAGCACAAGACCATATAATTGGATAGCATCGGCTCCCTCTCGTCAAGGGGTTCGATAGCACTCGTTTTTTTCTGCAAAACTAAGTTCGGTCGGCGGCCGAACGGCTGGGGGTCTAATCGAGCCCCCCACCCCTCCCCTTCTTACGTCAGCGGCTGTGAAAATGCCATTACCAGCTGTTGAAACATGGCAGTTGCTTTTGCATGAGTGCACGAAAGGGTTTTAGGTACGTGAGACGTGAAAGGTTCTACATGAAAATTGAGATAACCCAGCTTATCAAATTGTGCTCACTGTGGTGCGCTCGGTTTTACCTTGACTGGTCTTTGAATTCTGGGGTGAAACAGACCAGTCAAGAAACCTGTTCCATAAGGAGAGCCACTAATGCTAAAGAGATGAGGGATGAGGTTTCCGGAGACCTTCATTACCTCCCAAAGGGTGTACCCCGCCATTTGCCAATCCCTGCTGTATAGGTAGTTGTTACGATTGGAGAGTGAATATGAGAACGATACAGGTCGTGCCAGCTCGATCATGACGAACACAATGGTGCCGACATCACAGCTCTACTGCCATTTTTGACGAAGTTAATCAACAAGGACCGGAATCCTACCCTGGGGCATTTCACCTGCAGAGGTCGCCGGACCTGAGACCCTTTCACTCATTTTTTTTTTCAACGGTGCATGCGCTCGTTTTTCCCGCGAAGCTCTTGGCAAGTAAAATCCATCAGAAAGTGTGATCAAATAACGGTTGGTGACCTTCCATGACCTAGCATGACCTTTTGAGTGCCCACCGATGACATGACCACTGGGCACTGACAACTAGCCATTAGCTGCACCCTGCCCGTTGCATATGGATCAGGTGGTGATGTCATGATTCTGAAATTATATTGCAGTTTTGGCGCACTTGTCAGAGCAGAAGACATTCCCACTTTTCCTCCATGACTATATAATGGTGAAGCCCTGAAGCTGACCAGACGTAAGATCGAAAATTTGAAAGTACGAAACGTAAGAATAGTTGGCACTGCTACTCATACCTAAGCAATTCGCAGCTTGTAGGAAACCAGCTTTGAGTTGGCAAGACTGCAAATTTTGATTTAGAGGCAAGGATGCTGGAAAAGGTGATCGATCTTAGGTGTCCTAGGATAAGTTTGGAAACAGGATGCACCATTCGATGTGTTTTGGGCTTTGCCAAGTTTCGCGGCGTTACGTGCCTCGTTTTTTTGCATACACGATCAGTATCTACTTTTGGGATTTTCGAGTTTCGGTCCCCGTCCCCCCCTATCGAAAACCCGTGGCGCCGCCCCTGAGTACAACACGAAGAAAACTGTATGCTTGATTATGCGTCCAAAGGCTTTGAAAAATCTTAAAACTCCTGAGCTGTCTCTTTGTGGCACAATATTAAGAGTTGTAAGTGAGTACAAATATCTTGGTTACTTCATGACTGACAATGTGCGTGATGATCTTGAGATTCAGCAGCAATATCGTATGCTGTGCTGTAGAACCAATTCGCTCATTCGCAAATTTGGCATGTGTACGTATGCTGTGAAAAAGTATTTATTCACGACCTACTGTGCTTCTGTGTACTGTGTTCACTTGTGGCGTGCTTATAGTGCTGCGGTTATAAGAAAATTCAAAGTGTGTCTTAACAATGCTGTCAGAATATTCTTTGGCTACTCCAGGTTCTGTAGCGCTTCGTCTATGCATGTGTGTGAAGGATTAGATAATTTTGACGTGATGTACCGAAAAGCAGCATGGGGTTTCATGCAGCGTTTAGATGCATCCACCAACGCGATCATCAATGTCCTGGTTGACAGTGACATACGCCGGCGATCACCGCTAAGAGCGGCATGGAATGATGCTCTGGGAGTGCCATGAATCTTCATGTTATGTAGCATTGGACTAAGTGTCTGTAAATACAAAGTTCTCTCTCTCTCTCTCTCTCTCTCTCTCTCTCTCTCTCTCTCTCTCTCTCTCTCTCTCTCTCTCTCTCTCTCTCTCTCTCTCTCTCTCTCTCTCTTAACTGCTGAGTGCTGCGCATCGCAATAAAATTTTACAATGATGTATAGGATACGGGTTCGGACTTCCGATATCCGAGTTACAGTGAAATCGCTTTTATCATAGGTATTGACTATTGGTGGGGAATAAATGCTTTGCCCACGCCAGCCCACGCTTATAGAGAGCTTCCAACAATCCGTGAATAAAACCTAAATAGGGCACAGGTTGCTAGTTGCATGGTTTAGGCACCTACGCGTTTCTAGAAACTCGTGATTTTCGACTGTACGCAAAATGCTTATTACGGAGCGAGCGAAGCGAGCGTAGTCTTTCCTTAGATTAACGGAAATTTCTGAGTATGAGCGGCCGGCCGGCCGGCCGTGGTCACGCTTTTGCGACGCTTATATCTCAGCAACCACTTGACCGATTTACACGCGGTAATTTTTGTAGGGTAGCTTCATTCCTTCTACCAAGTATTGGACTATTCCCGATGCATGTGGGTGACCCCTTATGCACGTGCCACGTGCAAAACGAAGAGGTGTCACTTTTGTAATTGTTGCAATATCTCGGTAACTACTTGGCCGATTGCGCTGAAAGTTGGCATGCAGGTAGGCACCCTCTAGGCAATGCATATCCATGTGCCAGAGTTGGGGTGCTGCTGCACGTGCGCACGTGCAGGGGTCGATTCCAGATCTCGAGAACGGCTGGACCGATGGCGCTCAAATTTGGTACATGGTTAGGGACCGGTTAGTAGGGTGCAGTGCAAAAGTCAGTTGGGACCCATTTTGCACGTGCGCACGTGCAGGGTGCCGCTTCCAGATCTCGAGAACGGCTGGGCCGATTGTGCTCAAATTTGGCACATCGCAAGAGACCGGTTAGTAGGGTGCCGTGCACAAGTCAGCTGGAGGTACCCCCTCGAAATTTCGCACGTGCAAGGCTCACCCTCTCGCTCGCTCCGTTAGTCGCCCCAAAAGGCGTTATACTGGTAAATTATAATCAACCATATCAATACCGGTTACATACCTACGTTAATGCGTATGAAACAATTGAAATAACAAAATAGTAGGGGAAAGTGGGGTAAGACGGGCACCTTAACTTTGGAGCCATTTTTCGGCCGGTTAGAAACATCATAGAAACGGGAAACTGAGTGAAAACCTTTTACAGACATTTTACTTCCATTTGCCAGAAGATGAGACTTAGACCTGACTCAACAAATAAACTGCAGCTATTTTTGCAAAACCTTGCAAAAACCCATCTTACCCCACTCCATGGGGTAAGACGGTCACATGGGTAGGGCAAGACGGCCAGCTTCTTTCACCGACCAGCACAGCTCGCAGCAAATGCCCGAGATTAGCCGCATTGATACAGTCGCTCGTTGGTCTCAAGTGCTTCGGAAATGGCAGTATACGAGATTCGTGCAGAAGGCGTATACTCGTATATAGGCCCTAGTTCAGAAGCCATGTAGAGCCGTTTTTCACATTCATTATTCGAGAATAAACTGTGCCGAAGGAATATTGCTAACATGTCTGTGAGTATCGGAATCGAACATATTCTTATCAGAAATGCTTCTTTTTTCCTACAGCAACAAAAATATTTTTACCATTACAGACCCATCGGATTCATAGTTGCCCGTCTTACCCCAAACTCAATGTCAGAAGTTCAGCACGATTTTTCTCTGTGGACAATTTGATGCAGACAAAGCAAATCCGCGGTGAATGAACACTGGAGGCATATGAGTGTGCCACAAGTGATTGCCAGTTTTTAACTCTATAGTGCTGCACACAAAAGCTTGCACAATACATTATGAATGTTTTCAATGAAATGAGTGTTTTAAAGAAATCAAAATAAAAGATTATTGACCGAACACAAATTCACCAGACTTCAATGGCGGTGTGTAGTGGGAAAGGCTATTCTGGTCCTAATTTTTCTCGCTCGTAGCGCTATTGGTTTGGTCTGCAGAGGGGGTGCCCGTCTTACCTACCTTGACCGTCTTACCCCACTTTCCCCTACCTAGGTACTCACATCGAAAAAGAAACAAAACGGAGCGAGTGGCTGGCATAAATCAAGCACAAAGCGAAGGCTGTAGCACAGTTTGAAACACCATAACCGGCCGGTATCGAAAAGCAGCGTTATTTAAAAATGACTGAAATTAGTAAACTCATTCATTAAATGCTCATTGCTCAACCAGCATAGAGGCGGGTAATAAGCTGAATCCCTACACACTCACAAACATTTAGACGGCAGGGCCCAGAGAAAGCCAATAGAGGGCTGAGGGCATAAATACGCCTGCCACGTCACAATACTAATGCCTAAATGGGAAAGCTGACGGGTAAATAATAGGTACAGTTCATCATTCAATGGGCGATTAGCGTTGGCAATGCATCGTGATATTCACATAATCCGTGTTCGCTGTAGCTATCGCATCCTCTGTAAGCAAAAATCAGAGCAAGATATCCTCACTGATTTTCACTAAGTGCCCGGATATGTTCTGGTTGCATAACATGCCGTGCTATGTCACTGCACATTGTCCACATGTGCTGTCCTGCATGGTGACACCCTCATGAGCAAGGAACATTTATTTTCTCCCATTACGTGGGCCATCACGATAACCGAGCTCTCCCAGCTGAAACTTCCAGGTCATCATATCACATGTGCACCTCGTGCCCCTGACCGGGTCGGAGTCCGCCGCATTGCACCACCAGCTCCTCGCTTTCAGTGGAAATTTCGCGGCCGAATTTCGTTTCCGCGGCGTTTCCTACAATGCGCATCTCCTGACCCAGAGGAGACCAGCTGGGCGGAACCGGCAGCTCCGTCCATTTCTGGTGGGCCGCTCCAGTGCCGCCTCACGGGTCACGCAACGTCAGCGGGGAATAAGGAGCCCTGAATGTGACTCCTCCGGCACGCCTCTGCACTCCGCACCACGCAGTGACTCGGGAGTGTGCAATGTCTTATTAGTATAAATGACAGCGCCAGACGAGAACAGTATGAGGTTCATTGTCATCAGAGCCGGGAATATGTGGGTAGGTGAATCCGAACTCGGGCCGGGTCAAATCCCGGCCGAGTGCGAATAAAAGCCGCACTGACGCTTCCCGTCCTTACGAACCCAGGCCAATTCCATTCTTTCTTTAAATGGAGTCAGTTTTAGCAGCTCCAGGGAGAAAGACGCCCAACAGATCAGAGTTGCCTTTTGCATAATTATCAAGTAATCGCCCAAAAACGTACCTATATTTACCTTCCTGAACAGTTATAGGAGTCGTTCGTGCTAACTGATAGTCTCAAAATTTATGTGAAGACTAGAAGACTATGTGAAGACGGTAGAAGTCATACTCAAAAGCTTGAGCTTAGAATTGTACAATATTGATTCAACCTTGCTAGATAAAGGCAATTCCTTTCACCATGATGAATAGACGCATTGTTGTATTGGTCGGAAGTTGAACGGTGACTGAGCAAGCTCTGACAATTTCTCCGATGATTTCAACCCCTGATTTCATTTCAGCGCTAATTTCGTATGACCACGAACACGTAGCCATTCTTTTATGATCACATCCACTAAAATCGTAATTGGGTTGACCGTAAATTTTCTAAAAAGCTGCCCGTCCTCCTCACAAATCACACTATCACTGACAGTGGGCCGGCCTGTCAGTCGGCCGTTGACGGCCTGACGAGCCGCCACATCGGACAGATCAGTCTCCGCACTGACAGTCTGTCAGGGTTTGACGGCTCACTCGCCTGGCCAGCTGAGCCGCGGCGAAACTTTGATGGACTCAGCCGCTCTGAAGTACCGTGCACAGTGTGCAGCAGGATGACAAAAAGAACGCTATCAGCTTTGTTTGAAAATCATATCGCAAGACATACCACTTCAATCAAGCGGTGAGTCTATGTCTATTGGCCACTCGGCGTTGGACAATAGGGAACACCTGCGGCGTCCTCCGGCCAGTTTCCCATTTTTATTGATAACGTAATGAATTCGGACTCTGTACTGTGGCTTTCGGCAGAGACCATTGGTATACCCGATACCGCCTTTTCATTTCTACCTACAGAAATGGGTATTTGATTGCTTGATTTGTTCACGATCTGCAGCAATGAACAATCCCGTTATTTTTTTCGCCGTTCGTTGCTCATCTAATCAGCGATCGCGCATGTCATACACGGATGGATCCGTTTGCAGAAGAACAAAGTACAGCGCGCAGTACAGCGTACAGCCGCTGCAGCGGCTGGCAATTTGTTGAGGTGGGCTGTTGAGGATGCCGTGTTTAGTCATTGACAAATAAACAAATGCTGAAAACAAAATTACAACCCAAAACAGCGGCACCTCTGGCGCCATACTCGCCAGCAACCGTACAAAGCTTAACCATCTGCCGTCTGCGATCCCAAACTTCAGTCTACACAACATAAAAGTCATAAAGCAGCTTGCTGTGTATTCCGAAACTGACGTCAACAATGGCACATCAAGCCGGCGACTGGCGTCTCACTGGCACACCAGTTTGCGTCAATCTGGCTTCTGATGATCATGGACTCATCGGAGTCTCGGACTGGCTCAAACTCTCATCAGAATAAGATCGGTAACATCGGAATACCATTCAGCGGTAGATAATAGATATACATCGGAGTAACAAATGTCAACAAAATGCATCGCACTCTGGGCTCGGGACTCTGCGTACGTGACAAGATGACGTGTGACGAAGCTGAATTCTGAAGACATTGACGCGGAGACAAATGTCTGCAGCATAGGAACGATAAACACGCATACATTATCAGGAAAACTTCGGCGGGGTTCAATATTTGAGCGGCTTCGTTTGATTATCGTTCGCTCTGATTGCAGATGGAACACTAGTCATTGGACATCGGAAATAATTGTCAAAAGAACGTCGAGGCACGATTTTCGTGGAAAAGAATCGCTATTCTGTCTTTGTAGTTACAGCACAATCTATCAAAAACGTTCACTCAATAGCCCGAGGAACCTAATGCCCAATGCGGACAGACGTAAAAGTACCAGCATGACGGGACTCGACAAAACAATATCAAACATGTGAATACTCGAGAAAATAATCCGATAGGCACGCAAAAGGAGCATCGGCATAGTATAGAAACTTGTCTTTTTGGGAGAAACTGTCTTTTTACAGACTAGACTACGTTATCCTATGAACACAATGTTATACGACTGGGCGTAGGAACGTTAAAAAGAAACGGCACTTACCGGGAATAGAGAACAAACACTTCAATAAACCTCCTTAAAACGAAGCACACTCGTTCACAAAGGAATCCAACAACCCAAAACCACACAGCCTTAGTACACAACTCAAGCTCTACAAAAGCAAATGTTAGCATTAGCATTAGCATTAATCCTACTGACGCCTATAAATCGAATGGCGCCTAAGCATGCCATTCTCATAACTACCAGCACAACGATCTTACAACGCTACCATTCGCTTGCAATATACATATATTCCCGACCGGGGCTGGGAAATTACATACAATACCCGCAATGGTTTTAAGTACTTGCGCATGATTGGCATAATTATTTGTCGGCCATTATTGACCGCGCATGGTACATCGCAAATAGATTTAGCAAGCATACATCCATATTGGTCCAAACATTGAAAGCACATAGTTGACGAGACAAATGCATGGAGAATTGGAACAAAACATATTGCATTGCATCGGAACTGCTCGAGTAAATATTTATCATGCAGTATATAATATCAAAAGGAAATATGGCAAGTTATTTTCCACTCTCCCCGGCACGCGGCACAAGGTTCCCAGCACAATCATCCTGCCTCGAAACCGTCAGCCTGTGCCCATCGCTCTGCCGGAGCTCAGTGGAAGGGCTCGTAGGTGGAGGGCTTCCTCCCCTCCAGCGCTGTCTCAGGCACCCTCTTCATCTCGGCCAGTGCCGGCCAGTGCTGCCTCTGGCGGCGCAGCGCGCGGCGCAGGTTCGCCAGCGCGGCGAGAGATGGCGCGCCGAGCGGCGGCAGCGGCCGCGGCGGCCGGCCCAGCAGCGGCGGCAGACAGGCGTCCGAGCCGACCACCACCAGCCGGCCGCCGGCCAGCGCGCGGAGGTGGTGGGTGACGTGCTCCGCCAGCGCGGCCGACTCCGGCGGCACGGCCGGGGCCAGCAGCAGCACCAGCTGCGGGCACAGCTGGTAGGCCAGCGGCAGCAGCAGCTGCGTCAGCAGCGCCACAGCCTCGCCGGACTCCCAGCTGACGTCCGGGGACGGCGACTCCAGCATCAGCGGCGTGCGGATCCGGTCCGCGCCCGCCCACGAGAGCTGAGAGAGGCGCAGAGAGACGCGGGGGTCAGCTGGAGGGCCGCCGAAACACACAGCGCGCTAAGGTGATTCGAGACAGAGCCCAGAGAAAGGACACTGGGTCACCGAAGGAGCCATTAAAACAAAGACCCGCTAAAGGATGAAGCAGAGGACAAGTTGAATGCATCGACGACAGGGGGCAGCAGCTGCAGCTTCCGCAGCCACTTGGGGTTGGCAATCACAGGACAAAAGACTCCGCGACTGCTTACCAGCGGCTCGACGGTCGGCGACAGTTCGGCGGTGGTCTTCTGATCGTGGTGCAGGTTCACCACCTCACAGCCGCCGCCAGAGATGGTCAGAACCACGGCCTCGGCGTCCGAGGGACAGGGCACCATCAGACCCCAGTCGGGAGCCACTGGGGGAGAGATAGAGGTGACATACAGAGGTCAGTGAGACTGGGCACCATCAGACCCCAGTCGGGAGCCACTGCGGGGGAGAGGTTACAGTCAGAGGTCAGAGACAGGGCACCATCAGACCCCAGTCGGGCGCCACTGCGGCGAGAGGGGTAGAGGTCAGGGTCAGTGGGAGGCTGCTTCATCCGATGATGTAGCTTCTATGCCGTCAACTTGCAACACGAACCGCAATACAAAAAAAAAACAGCTGTTCCGACTTCCGAGATATTTCGCATCAATTCACATTGAGATTTTCTTTATCTAAAACCTTTGCTGTCCCCTAACCAACCTCACGAATGATAACATAGTGGGTGTAAAATGTAAATACAACACGATCAGACAGCTCGCCCTAACCACCGACCAGTCCCCCGCGCCGCTGTCGCAGCCTTCCCACACTGACCGCAGAGTGGCGAGTCTCTCCAGTCGACCACCAGGAGGCGCTGACAGCGGGAGAGCGCGTGTCGCGCCGCGGCCGGTCCGTCCGGCTCGATACAGGCACAGAAGCCGGCCACGGCCCGATCTTCCAGCACGGCGTCAATGGCCTGGGGGTGCGGCACAGGGGCTGGTTATCAGAGGGCACTGACGTGATACACAGGGCGGAGGGGAGCGGGAGGACAGCAGTCTGCTGACCAGGGCTGAGGGGTGAGAAGAAAAGAAATCACACACAGCTTAAAAACAAAGAAAGAAATTTCACACACAGTTTGATTGATTGCGTGTTTGCAACTACGATAACTGAACAATGGAAGATGGGCATATAACTCGTAACATACACGCATAAACCAATAACGTTTGAACGTCGCGGCCCGTCCGAGTCCATCTGTTCCCTCCGTCTGACCTCAGTGATTCCATCTTCCTGACAGGCGTCTGCTCCGCCGCCGACCTCCAGGCAGCCCTGCATGAGCGCCGCCACAGACTCGGAGCGGATCACACTGTAGAGCAGGAGAGGGTTAGATGGGATATTGTACAGTCCCGTCCTCCAGCCAGCCCTGCATGAGCGCCGCTACAGACTCGGAGCGAATCACCCTGTAGAGCAGGGGAGGGTTAGATGGGATATTGTACTGTCCCGTCCTCCAGACAGCCCTGCATCAGCGCCGCCACAGACTCGGAGCGAATCACCCTGTAGTACGGTACGGTACAGCCGGGTAGGCGTCAGCGGAGTGTCGTACAGATAGGGGAACCAACATCTACACAATTAATTGTATACGTATTCAAAGCAAACATTCAATATGAACTCAATTATGTTTACTAATGCACACCGTACAAACGTGGTAATTCAAAGCGCGGTGACCTAAAAGGGCTTGGCGCTGAGCCACTCACCCGTTCATGGGGTTGGGATGATGGTGGTGCGTTTTGGCCACCACCAGACGACACGGGGCCACAGTTAGGTCGGTATCTGTGGAACGGAACGACCGTCACAAGCGGGCATTGAGACACCAGCAGATGACACGGCAAAACAGACAGATTCGTATCTGAAGAACAGAGCAAACGTCACAGGCGAGTACCAGTGACTGAGTTAGTCTGTATATACATATTACATAATGCTTACAGGGCAATTGCACTACCCGAAACGTCCACTGCGACCACTGCACTTCAGGGTCGAATGGGGCTATCATTCGGAGATTCTTTCCTCAAAATGCTTACGAAAACACCCACAGTGTTTACGCTTACACCCTTGACGTATCTACTGATAAACCAGTACAGTCCCGACAATGAGAAAACTCCCTTACACCACTAGTGGCGTTCGATCCGGTCCATCCTGCCCAATCGCGGCGGTGTTAACTGGGCGAGACACGGCGACACGGACCGGCGGGCGCTGATAATCGGACAGCTCAACATCCAATCGTTAAAGCCCAAACTACCGGATCTGCGTGCGGTGATCAAAGATGTATACGGTTTTCACATACTCGGGCTATGTGAAACTTGGCTTTCCACCAACACCCCGAGCCGACTGCTGAATGTCCCGGGCTATCAACTCTACCGCGCCGACCGCCCTAAACAGAGCAAGTTAGCGGCAGGCCACGGCGGTGTAGCAATTTTGGCGCAAGAAACACTCAAGGTTGTGATATTGCCCACACCAGTGACAGAAAATCAAGAACAGTCGAATTTGGAGATAATCTGGGCGCAGATACAGTCGGGAAATGGTCGGCAGATCCTGTTCGCATCAGCTTACAGACACCCCACCAACACGGTACATCAAGTAACTGCAGACCTAGATGACCTGAACGCCCAGTTAAACTACATGATGACAGCTCACCCACGCAAGCATGTGATACTGTCAGGTGACTTTAACGCGTGTCTACTGAAGAACAAATCACCGGGCGTCAGACTAATGGAAGTGTTGCGCTTGAACGGCCTAGTGCCTGTCAATTTGAAAAGGCCAACATACCGACCAGCTGCCTCATTGATTGACGTTATCGCAACTAGCCAGAGCGGAAACGTTGTGAGATCCGGTGTTACTCGGTGCCATTTAGGAGGCCCGCACGACTACACTAGGATAATGATACGACAAAACTGCAAGAGCCGCGCCCACAGAAGTGTCTCTATCCGAAAGCGTTGCCTGGGCAGCGTTGACTCAACCGAGTTCAATGTCTACTTGTCGCGCATTGACTGGAACGGGGTGTGGCTGAGTGGCAGCACTGAGGCGGCGTGGGAGTCATTTGTGGCCGTGTTTACCCGAGCCTTGGACACGGTAGCACCGATACGGCGAGTGCGGGTGAGACCACAGGGGGCGCTACCTGTGACCGCGGCTACCCGTGACCTGATGGCCAGCCGGCGCCGTGCGCTCACAGATACATCGGCCGCCGGACGCGAGCGGTACAAGGCTCTCAACCGCCAGTGCCGAGCCGCAATCAGGTCAGACGAGGCCTCCTATCTAGAGAATGAGTGCAAGAAAGCAGGTCCTGCAAAAATGTGGCGTGTGTTGAAGCCGATTATAGGCGACAAAAAGGGAGCTTGTGATGTACCGCACGTCACACCAAACGCACTAAATGCATTCTTCTCTCAGATGGGGCGAGAGACTGCCAATAGCGTGCCAGTACCGTCTCGCACCCAGCCGGTGAGACTGCCACGGGTCCATACCTGTCAGTTTAAGGTGGATACTGTGGACATTGATACGCTGATGACTGTCGTGCACAGCATGAAACCATCGACAGCCACGGGTCTTCAGGGTATAAGTGTGCAAATGATGCAGAAATTCTTTTATGGTATCGGGCCTGTCTTGCTCAATATTATCAACTCTAGTCTGTCTAGTGGCGAAATACCAACGGCATGGAAACATGCAGTCATCACACCGTTACCCAAAACACCCAAACCGTCGCAACCGTCTCAGTATCGCCCTGTGTCTGTACTGCCAGCTCCAATGAAAGTGATTGAGCGCGTCGTGCAGCAACAGCTGGCTCAATACTTCAGAGACAACGGTCTGTTCACACACCACCAGCATGGCTACAGGGCGTCGCACTCTACAGAGACCGCTTTAGCTGTAGTGACTGAGCGCATTTATCGAGCGATGGACGGAGGCAGTGTTAGCATTTTAGTGTTGCTCGACCTGTCTAAATGTTTTGACAGCGTAGACCACCAGCGATTACTCACGAAGCTAGCACTGTATGGCATCGATGTGACTTGGTTCGCGAGCTACTTGGCCGGCCACTCTCAACAGGTCAAAGTCAGTGCGGGTGAGGGAGAGCCGATCATGTCCGACACTTTACCCAATGACAGCGGTGTATCTGTATACCAGGGCGGTTCTCTTAGTTGTATTCTATACGCCATCTATGTGAATGATATTGGGCTTTACGTTGATGATGTAGAAGTTATTCAGTTTGCAGACGATACCCAACTTCTTATAACCGGACCAAAGAAACATCTTAACGCGATGATCACAACTCTCGAACGCGCTCTCGATCAACTCGCAAATTGGCTCAATGAAAACCGGCTGAAGGTCAATGCCGCGAAAACGCAAATGATACTTTTCGGAACGAGGGCGATGCTGAAAAACCAGCCGAAGATATCGGTAAACTTCTGCGGCACAGCCATCGAGGAATCCCGCGTAGTTAAGAATTTAGGACTTTATATGGATAGGCACCTGACATACGTAGATCATGTAGACCACGTGGTAGGAAAATGCAGTGGCATTCTGGTTGCGCTGACGCATGCAAAGCATAGCCTTCCAAAAACCTCGCTCAAGCCACTGGTCAGCGCTCTGGTTATGTCTGCCGTTAGATACTGTTTGTCCATCTATAGCACGTGCACAAAAACAGAACTCCATCGCATACAGAAAATCATACATTTTGGAGCGAGAGTGGTCAGCGGAAAGAAAAAGTTTGAACATATTTCTGGAGTGCTCAAAGACCTTAAATGGCTAACAGCATCTCAACTTGCTCAATACCACCGCGTCCAGATGGTCAGCAAAGTGCTGGCATCAGAGCTTCCCCAGGCATTACACGATATTATCACGGACGCAGACCGCCAGCACGAACACGACCACCAGACACGACAGAACAATCGGCTGAGACTACCAGCCATTCGAACAGAGACTGGTAGGCGCCAGCTTGCGTACAGTGGCGTACAAATGTACAATGATGTGTGCCAGGGCAGAAGAGATCACGACTCATTCAGGAAAGCACTCTACCGATTTGTACGGCGTGAACCGGACTAAAGAGTTAAGCCATGCGTGTATGCATGTGTCTCCAATTTTATGTGGATGGATGTTGGTGTGTGGTACATGTGTTATCCTATTTTTAGTGCAATTTTACCAACCGGACGTGCGCAAGTGAAAACCCGAAATTGTCGGATCTTGAGCGAAATAAATGTCTATGTCTATGTCTATCCCTTCACCCACCCCTGTTCCCACCCCACCGTCCCCTCCCTGTTCCTCACGCACCCTCTCTGAGCTGGTCGAGCTCCCGCCGGTAGCGCTCCTTCTCCTCCTCGCTCTGTACGGGACACGCGCCGATCGTGGGGTAGGTGGCGTCGGCGGGCGGCGGGTCGCCGCGGTACTCCACCACCGGTATGTGCTGGTCGGGGGCCGCCGACGCGCCGCCCCCGCCGCCGCCCCCGCCCGGGGCCGGGTGGTACGTGTCGTACAGCGTCAGGAAGCCCCAGCTGCGCCGCTGGGAAGACACCACGTTCAGAATGGTCTCCTCCACACTGAAATGTGGGTACAGAATGAGAGATTAGACAAGACAGACAGGACCGAGGGTGGTTCTCGTCAATACATTCGATGCCATGAGTTAAAACATGGCATCGAAAAAAAGTAACATCATGCGACGTTGGTTGTTAACAAGTCGTATGGATAAGCCTTCGACTTTTTCCCTCGCATCATCCCAGGTGTTGCCCTATAATTCCAAGTAAATGGGTCAGCATTTCCCTCAGCCCTAGCCGCTTGATACAATCCATCATATCTCTCCCACCAGCGTCTCTCAGTTGTCCTGCCGCCTCTCAATATTCCATCCTCTGGACGGACACACAGCGGTTCCCAGTCTGACCTGTCGCAGGGCGGCAGCAGGGCCGGTAGCGGCGGCGGCGGGTCACCCAGCAGCGCGCGCAGGGTGAGCGCGGCCGACTCGGCCAGCGAGGACAGGCAGTAGCCGCCCTCCAGAACGACGGCCAGCCGGCCAGACGCCAGGCTCATCAGAGAGTGAGTCAGGTGCGCGAAACAGGCCGGCGATACCCGCATCTCACCCTGGGGGTACCGAGCCGGAGGGGAAAGGTTAGAAGTCAACAGGGCGGCGGAAGAGGTGCAAGCGGTGGTACAGAGCTCAAAATGATACATTAATGTCAGGTAATGAATACAAAAGCTCTCATATATAAGCCGAAAGCTTGATGGATACACGCAAAAGCAGCGAATCAGATATGAACCAAATTGAAGAAAGTCAGTAGTTCAAAAGTCCATTGAAGCGTTCTTGCTGGGATAATCATTTACCTTATTAGTGATTATGTGCATTGTAAGCAAAACGTCACCGATCCCGTCACCAGAGCCGCAAAAAGTTGACCAGATTATTTAAAGCCTCACCTGGGGACATCCGATTGCCGCGTCGTACCCAGCCGAGACCAGCACAACATCCGGCGCAAACTGAAACACGACGGGGCAGACAGCGGTTCATACTTTGTCCTCATGTGTCAACTGCAGAGCAAAGGCTACACTCACAAACACGCACATACACTACTCTACCCCCTTTCTCCACCCTTTCCCCTCCCCTCCTCACCTCATAAGCGGCGGGCAGCAGTAGTCTGTGCCAGATGGCCAGGTAGTCCTGGTCCTCCATGCCGGTGCCATTGAGAGGCACGTTCCAGTTCAGACCCAGGCCGGGGCCGTCGCCCACGCAGTCGTACTCTCCTTCCCGCAGGCCGGGCCAGAACTCACCGTGCTCGTATCGGTGCACGGAAAAGTACATCACCCTGACAGAGATGTGAGAGAATAGTCACAAGGGGTGCCGCAAGAGGAGCGATGTCAGTCTCAGATGTTGATATACGCCCATAAGGTCCATGAACTATTCCTTCTCTGATGGTGAGCTGGTATAAAATCAATGCAGTTAATAAAAGTACTAGTTCACAGAAGGTGTACAATTGTCTGCAGAGCTACAAAAAGACACAAAGAATCTTTTCTCACAATGGATGAAGTCATTTCACTCCCCCCAAAAGTCACCATCAGCCCTGACCGACCTGTCGTCGTCATAGAAGGCGCGCTGGGTGCCCTGGCCGTGGTGGACGTCCCAGTCCACAATGAGCACCTTGAGCCGACGCTGGGCCGCGCGCAGTGCTGCCAGCGCCACGTTGTTGAAGTAGCAGTAGCCGTTGAACTCAGAGGGCCCCGCGTGGTGGCCCGGTGGCCTGAGAACCGGCAGAGGGTGGGGCGGGTTAGAGAACATGAGGATTGGAGATCGGGAGGGGTATCAAAGCTGGGGCTGAGTGATAATCGTACAGAGATGATAAATCCAGTTATCTGGTGATTTGGGATATGCTATAAATTGTGTGTGACGAATCTCCTCCAAAAAGATGCTGTAATGTCTAAACAAAACGATAAACATAAAGCCTACCATGGTGTATCATCCAATTCATAAAAAAACCAGTCGTTAAAAATCTACAGACACGTTTGTAACTCACCTGAACTCACATCCCACCCTTCTACCAAACCATTCATGTCCCTACCTTAGTGTCATACTAAACCCCGTTTTAACTCTATTCCGTATCCGATCATAGCCCCATCAACACTAGATGAGATCGGACTCGCAATCACCTCAGATAAACTTCCCCGTACCGTAATGTATCCCGCCCATAATCCTGATTAACCCACCCTGTGCTCGGCCCAGTCCCATCCCACCCCTAGATTGAAGCTTCCCGTTCCTCCTCCTCACCTGATAATCGCCATCCCGTTTCTGACTGTGCCGTCAATGACGGCATCCACCAGACTCAGCGTGGAGCCGGCAGACAGCAGCGCAGCCTTGTACGTGGACTGGGGTGCGGTGACGGGGCACAGACAGCGGAGGGTGGGGTGTTAGTTTAGCCGACAGGGCGGGGGAGAGTGGCACGGGACACTGCTAGAGACAGAAACACTGCACTCTAAAAAAGACACTCTGCATGTCTCACACCTGCTCTAAGTACTAAGTAGACACCGTCCAGCGTTCCAATGCACTCACCGGGTGAAAGAAGACGGTGTCGTACTTGGACGAGAGCTGTTGCAGCGCCTCGACGTCGCGACAACCACTGGTTCCGGCGGCCGTCGACAGATGGCTCTGCGTGTGAAACATGAGCAGCTCGGCCTCGGTGGCCGGCCGGCACGGGAGGCGTTCACAGCGCTCCATCAGACCGAGCTCCCGACACCTGAGGTCGGTAAATGGTCAGGTCACGGTCATGACTCATCCCACGGCGCATGACCTGCTGCGACTGACAGGTTACATGGCTACACGTTACGTTACATTTCACGACACCTGACATCGAGATAAAGCACAGATCAGCGGCCCAGTCGGTCACATCTGAAATACGAGACATGCTGATATGTACGAACTCACAATGAAGTGTGACCAAAATACGCATAAACCTGAAACCTCAATACAAAGTACTAGTACAGTGATCCTGTACAAAGCCCACACTCCCTGTCACCCAATCCTCACCTTCCCAGGACAGACCGCAGCCGCTCGGGACACTCCTCGAACTCGGGGTCCCAGAGACAGCGGTGCTGCAGCATCAGCTCCTCGTCGTAGAGCAGGCCCGTGGCGACGGAGCGCACCGCCGGGAACAGATCATCCATGGCCGCCGCCCTCAGCGCAACGAGATGACGAGTGGACTGACAGCTAGCGACCTTCCAGACAGTGAGAAAAACAAGTCATAACTCATAACAATGTCACAACAACATCCAGTCGGCATGTCGTGCTAAGTCGGGGTAGATTTCATGTCATTGGGATAGAAAGAGGTTGGAATCAATGGGGATACTGGATACAGCACGGGGTACTGATTGAATGAGCCCAGGGATTCTGGTATCGGTGGTAAAAATGGGTTATGAATCGGGTAAGGAGAAGAAAGTTGGGAAAAGGTTGTTAGTCAAAACATACTATCTCTTTAACACTACATTATACATAATGTATTCTCTATCGTTGAATATTTACAAAAATGCGGATTATCCCAATGATGACTATACGCTATCATCTATAGCAGTCCACTCGACACAGCTCCCACGCACCACCACAGGCAAACCACAACAGTACCACTCAGCCAGCGCTTTTATGCGGGCTCGGCAGGCGCAAACCCGCGTCTGCGACCGATTCCCTGAAAATCGAGATCATTCTCGCCGCTCACTCCAGCAATAATAAACAAACCCGGCAATAATAAACACGAGATGGGGTCAGAGTCCATACTAATCCCCACCGACCAGGGTGGAGCGGCCAGATTTGGAGTCCGGACAATTTCCGGCGAAAAAAAGCGACTCAAAAGTTATCAATTCAATATATTGAGGTATGGGGAGACTAGACACCTTACCTACCCTATCACCTATGCCCCTATGCCCTATTTGTGTTTTACCTAAAATCATTGGTTTTTCAGGTTTAAGATATGTAGTTCAAACGCCAATGAGCCGATATAGATTTAAACCAATTTGTTTAAACATACTGTTTCACGGTTCCCAGGATTTATGATGACATTCTTCAGCACGCCTGTAGGGCCTTTGATGGTGAACTGTTCTTGCGTGTGGCACGGCACATCGGGTATGTGGAATGTGGATAGCTTATGCTTCCTGGAATTGGTCCGTAGACATTGGACGAGGCATGTTTCTGGTCTCAGTAACCTAGACTATCAGATCCAGATGTCAACTAATCAGATTTCGACCAATGAGTCAGACCCTGTTTCAGAGCAGTAGGTACTCCAACCACCACAGACTCCTATGACCACAAGCTGACAGGGTATGCGAACTGCGGTGCTGGAAACTCTTCTACAGTAAATCAAACCATCCAATATGTTTGTGCTTCAGCAGCCTTCTCTGGAACTCAAAGCCACCAGTAAAAGTTACCTCATATCCAGGGCACAACAGACATACAAGGTAGATCCTTTAATGTCCATTATATCTACTAATTTTACAATCATATGACCATCCTCATAGGATGAGGATCCCTGGGATCCACATTCTGGAGTCTAAGATGATCAAAAAGAGTCCTTACTTATGCAAAGGAAATTTACACTACCTAGGGGTACATACTCTATGAATTAAACTTGAAATGCAGAGCACAATAAAAGCAAAAACTTGATAATCTTTGTAATGCAGGTAAATTTTGCACATTGGCATGTGCATCGTAACCCAATGTGCATAGCATCCTGGATCCTTGATATCACGCTTCTGAAACTGCAAATGTTATTCTTCATGGACCACAAGGCACGAGCATGTCAAAACACATCTACATCACCGACACATTTTTCGTCATGCATAAAACTTCCACCAAAAGCATCAATCAAGGTGTAAGAAAGCAAATACCCCTCTTTTCTCTATCTTGTATGCTTCAGCTTGGTTCATAATGAAAAAAGCCTTACTTTGAGGTCCTTAATTTCACTTGACTGAACACCTATAAAAATCTTGAGCCTCTTATCTCAATGCACCAGTGTCAGTGTGGAGCTGAGCCTCTACGTAGTGCCCGGTGACCGGTGTCAATGCCCATCCCCTATAACCCCATTCCTCCTTCGTTTGACCTCCACGCACGGACAGACACGCGCGCGCAAACGCAGCACCGGCCCCGGCCACAACTTTTGCTCTCGAGCATGCAAAGTTCATTACCGTTTCAGTCCCCGTTTCAGTCTGCCCCCCTCGAGTCTGCCCACATGCAAACCATGCACTTTGCCATATTTATGATATTACCTATCCTCTCCTCTGTCCCCTTACCTCTGATTTTTTTTTTTTTATAAAACAAAAACAAAATTGAAACAGAGACGTCGTCACTCACAAACAACCGAAGAGACAAGAAAGCAGGAATTTTGTTCAAACGCATCGTAAGCGATTGTAAATCTGGCTTGTGTAAGCCAATCACCACTCACCAGGCAATGCATTGAGTCGACTGTCGAGTTATTAACAATTAACATAGTGCCTTATTGCAGTGCCATTAGATTCAGTAAATAGCCTCGTTATTCATGAAATTAGTTCATCTGATATAAAAATGAATGAGTTTGAATCATAATTATATAATGCAAATGTTTCACAAACCGTCACTTGCGGATGGAGCTATTTACGAACATTATTAGAACATGGAATGATCTTGTCGACATTATTGACGCTAATGCTACAAAACAATGGCATGCACTGGGAGAGAGAGAGAGAGAGAGAGAGAGAGAGAGAGAGAGAGAGAGAGAGAGAGAGAGAGAGAGAGAGAGAGAGAGGAAGAGAGGAAGAGAGGAAGAGAGGAAGAGAGGAAGAGAGGAAGAGAGGAAGAGAGGAAGAGAGGAAGAGAGGAAGAAAGGAAGAGACTAGAGAGGAAGAGAGGAGAGAGAGAGAGAGAGAGAGAGAGAGAGAGAGAGAGAGAGAGAGAGAGAGAGAGAGAGAGAGAGAGAGAGAGAGAGAGAGAGAGAGAGAGAGAGAGAGAGAGAGAGAGAGACCGCTGAACTTCGACGTGCGACGAGTAGTTTGATGCATGCCAGGGGCAGGCTCGGCGAGAAAGGGGGGACTAATTGTCTGATCTACCGGATGGCGGATGATTGCGCGAAAAGAGGAACAGAGTCGCGGGCCGCGGGTACGTGGCTATGGGAATACAGGCAATTGCATAGATTGAGATATGCAGACTGAGACATGTATTTCAAACTTCAACTTTCGACTCAGACGCAATTATAAAATGTTGACTGTAGGCAGAAATACTGATATATGGCAGCGCACTTACTTCAATATGGTAGCTCCGGCCTGCGACGAAATATGCGTCACCTTCGCTGCCCAACCGTAACCGGACAAATCTTCGTATGGCAATTCTTCGTCGCGCAATTCCTCGTCCGCATTTCTTCGTCCGCAAATCTTCTTCGACGCATTTATTCGTGTCGCATAACTTCGTCTCGCATTTCTTCGTAAGCGCAAATATTCGTAGCGCATTTTTTCGTATCCGCATTTCTTCGTACGCGCATTTCTTCGTCAAGCATTTTTTCGTCCACGCATTTCTTCGTCTACGCAAATCTTCGTCCGCATTTCTTCGTCCACGCAAATCTTCGTCTGCGCATATCTTCGTCCGCAAATCTTCGTCCACGCAAATCTTCGTCCGCAAATCTTCGTCCGCATTTTTTCGTCCACGCATTTCTTCGTCTACGCAAATCTTCGTCCGCATTTCTTCGTCCACGCAAATCTTCGTCCCGGCAAATCTTCGTCCGCAAATCTTCGTCCGCAAATCTTCGTCCGCAAATCTTCGTCCGCAAATCTTCGTCCGCAAATCTTCGTCCGCATTTTTCGTCCACGCATTTCTTCGTCCACGCAACTCTTCGTCCGCAAATCTTTGTCTGCGCATATTTTCGTCCGCAAACCTTTGTCTGCGCTATTTTCGTCTCCGCAAACATTCGTCCACAAATGTGGTTCAATAAAATCATGAAGAAATATCAGACCATCAAGTGATTGACGAATTTAATGCATGGAATGGATGATCGAAACTTTTGAAGTCAGGTAGATGAGGTCTGTCAGGTGAAGCTATTGTATTTGGGAGCCGATAATTGTAACATTCCATATCATTTGTGTCCCGGGCATTCTTTTTTTTCGCGGTCGATGAATGACAATATAATCTCTTGTACCCTCGCCGGCATAGGCGGCGGAACGGGGAGGGCACCGGGGCACCGTTCCCCTCTTTAATTTTGGCCTTTTAACAGTAGCCCTATGGCCGTTGCATGGAAAGAATGGGACTAAAAGTCGGCAGTGCCGTGCCCCCCCCCCTAATTGAAGGTGTTCCGCCGCTACTGCTCGCCGGACCTATTTGTTTTCTACATACACGCCGGCCGAGGGGGGGGGGGGCGGGTACGACCCCCCCCCCATCGCCGTTTCGCCACTGGTGGTGCTAGCGCGTCGCGGAAAAAACGAGCGTGTGCGCCGTTACGAGACGCAGAGATTAATACCCGATTTTAAGGCCTTCTAGGTCAGGGGTCGGCTTACGGCCCGCGGGCCGGATCCGGCCAGGAGGGTGACGGTTGGATCCGGCCCGCGACCATCTGACGTCCGGCCCGCGCAAGTTTTGTCTAGAAGTAGAATTAGACAAAAACACCCGCAAATGGTGTTTATAAACTCATGAAGTGTGCGAAGGAAGATGTAGTGTAAATTCGGAATTAGGAAGTTCGTGACAATTGTTGTAGTGTTAATTCGGAATTAGGAAGTTCATGACAATTGTTATGTTGCCATGGCAACCAGATCAAGGAGCCTGACTTATTGATGTGTTGGTGAGCTCTGATTGGCTAGGCCCTAGAATTCAGGGCTTTTGCCGAAGGGGATTGGTGGAGAGGTCAAAATCGGGGTTCACTGGCAGTGGGGGAGCAGTGCGGTGGGAGCAGCGAAGGCGAACGGCAGGTCGGGGAGTCCAGGGATGGAATGGTGTCGTTATTGGGGAGTTCCAGCCCTCTGTGAAGTGCGACTACTTTTGTGTTAACATCGCTTGATATTGACAATAATATCTATCTTTTATCTAACTGGCTGTGAAATCGACCACAAGCTATTTCGGCTTTACAATGGCAGTGAGAATTGGTGATGCCGGAGATTTGGATCTGCGTTTGGTACCAGAATTCGATGGAGTTTCTCAAGACATCGCTGAATGGATAGATAAATTGGAGCTGGTGTGCCGTCTGAAAGGAGTGGAAAGCCAGGAGAGCGTCATTCCCCTGCGACTCACAGGAGGTGCATTCAGCGTGTACCAGCAGCTGGATGAAGAAAGCAAAAACGATGCGAAAAAGATTAAAGAAGCTTTGTTTACCGCTTTTGCTGCCGACAAATTCTCGGCGTTCGAGCAGTTCGTGGCTCGCCGGCTCAGAGCGAATGAATCAGTAGACGTCTACTTAGCCGACTTGCGTCGTCTGTCACGGCTGGCCGGAGGAGTAAACGACGGCGTCCTTGCCTGTGCCTTCGTAGCCGGATTGCCTGAAGAAACGCGTCACGCGCTGAGGTCGGGTTCTCGAATGGAATCACTGGATCTCGCTCAAATTGTGGCTCGCGCTCGTGCGCTGATGGCTGACTACACGACGGTGGCCGCGGTGGCCCAACGGCCCGGCCAAGCGCCTATGTTGAACGGCGGAGCCAAGCGGGAAGGGCCGGTACTATGCTTCATATGTCGGCGCACTGGTCACCTGGCTAGACAGTGCCGGACAGGGAGGAGCCGAGGAGCCTGTTTCAGCTGCGGCCAGTTTGGACACTTCGCTGCTAAGTGTCCGGGAAACGGAAACGGAGAGGAAGCCTCAGCGCCAGCCTCCTCTCCCGGCCTCGCGTTAGTGGATCCCTGCCGCTCCGGCGCTTGTCAGTAAACGGGAGTCAGCGCACGGTTTTGATCGACACCGGCTGCTCTAGAAGCATCGTACACGCCTCAGCCTGTACCGACTGGAAACGGCAGCGTGAGAGTGTTTTCACTGTGAGCGGTGAGCGGAGTGAGTGCGACGGAGTAGGGCAGGTCTCGGTGCGTTTGGACAATGGTGCAGAGGCTCACATTGACTCGCTGGTTGTTGGAGAGAAGCCGCTGGGCCTTGACATGATCCTGGGAATGGACGGCATAAAAGCCCTCGGTGGCGTGACCGTTCTGTCGGAGAGGCAGTGTCAGTTTGGTGTCGAAACAGAAGCTGCAATTACAGCAACGGCTGTGATGGAAATCGATGAGTCGGACTTCAGAGTCAACTATAACGAGAGAGACCGAAAATGGACTGTAACATGGAAGTGGAACGATGAGAAGGGACCAAAGGAACTAAGAAACACGGTAGCAGAGTATCGGATGGCGCCGACCGCCAGGGACAAGTATCAAGAGGAAGTGGAGGAGTGGGTATCCAATGGCTGGCTGATACCTTACAACGAGGAGGAGCATGGACCTGTGCGAGGAACCGTGCCACTGATGGCAGTCGTTCAGCCCAACAAAGAAAAAGTGAGGCCTGTGATGGATTTTCGCGAACTGAACGAGTACGTGACAACCCACACGGCCGACGCCGATGTGTGCGCCCACAAGTTGCGTGAGTGGCGGCGGAAGGGGACAAACGTCGCACTCATCGATCTGCAGAAGGCATACCTCCAGATTCACGTTCACAGATCGCTGTGGACGTACCAGACGGTCGTCTTTGGAGGGAAACGGTACTGCTTGACCAGACTCGGGTTTGGGCTGAAATCAGCACCACAGATCCTGAAAAGGGTGGTCGCCACCGTGCTGAACCGCGACGAGAAGATCCGTGACGCAACATCGCCATATATGGACGATATCTTCGTGGATGAGAGTGTGGTCAGCGCCGAGCGCGTTGAGGACCACCTGCGTCAATATGGGCTCGAATGCAAGCCCGCAGAACGCGTGAGTGGCAATGGAGCTCGTGTGCTCGGACTTCGTGTCCGAGAGGAGGGAGAGCGGCTGAGATGGGAGCGTGACAATGAGATGGGACAGATTCCGCAGCGCCCGACACGCCGAAGTGTATTTTCGTTGTGCGGGCGGCTGGTAAGTCACCTACCAGTCTGTGGCTGGCTACGAGTCGCCGCCTCGTTTGTGAAGAGAAGAGCCAATGCCGTAACGGCGGCATGGGATGATCCGGTCGAAGACCCCCAGGTCTTGGAGATGATGAGCGAGATGGTGAGCCGAGTACGGGAGAACGACCCGGCTCGCGGCCGATGGGACGTCTCTGGCGACGCGGCTACTCTCTGGGTGGACGCCAGCTCAGTGGCTCTCGGAGCGGTACTGGAGGTGAACGGTGACGTCATAGAAGACGCGAGCTGGCTCAGGAAGGACGACTGCGGCCACATCAATTTGGCAGAGCTGGAAGCAGTCCTGAAAGGCCTGAACCTGGCGGTAGCGTGGGATATGAAGGATATCCGTTTGATGACCGACTCGCAAACCGTATTCCACTGGCTGTCTGACGCGCTATCGGGGAAGGCTCGGATCAAAACGAAAGCGGCCAGTGAGCTTTTGATCCGCCGACGTCTTCAAACGATCACTTCCATCGCTGAGGAGTACGACCTCAGAATAGACGTCCACTTCGTGCCGTCTGCAGAAAATAAAGCGGACAGCTTGACCCGAGTGCCTAACAGGTGGCTGAAAAGAAAAGAAGTCGGTGATTCGGTATGTGCTGCTGTCGGGGAACTGACGTCAGCAGAGGTGACGCGCATCCACGAGATAGTCGGACACCCTGGGATTCGGCGCACCCTGTACTTCTGCCGCAGAAAGTCGCCAACAGTGTCGCGAAAAATGGTACAAGGCGTGGTGCGCCGCTGCATTAAGTGCCAGTCAATTGACCCTGCACCGGCTACGTGGCCCAGAGGCAAGCTGAGCGTGGAGACTGTGTGGTTCAGAGTGGGCGTGGACGTGACGCACGTGCAAGGAAGTCACTATCTAAGCATGATAGATTGCGGACCATCACGCTTCGCGATCTGGAAGAGGCTGATTCGTCAGGACGCAAGGAGCATGATTCAGCAGCTCGAGCTGGTTTTCCTGGAGCGAGGTGCGCCAAAGGAGCTGCTGATCGACAACTACCCAGCCTTTCGAGCCTCCGCGTTCTGCGAGTTTGCAGAGAGGTGGGGCATCAAGATCATCTTCAGATGTGCCCATTCTCCAAGTGGAAACGGCATCACCGAGCGGTGCCATCGAACGGTGAAGACCATCGTTGCACGCTCAGGCTGCAGCGTCATGGAGGCTGTCAACCTGTACAACATCACACCGAAGGATGATGTGGATGCTGGCTCTGCACCGGCGAACATGGTGTACTCGTACGAGGTTCGAGTGCGCGGAATTGGTGGAGACGATGAGCAGAGCCCCGGGCAGGTGATATCCTGTCGGTACAGCATCGGCGACAGGGTGTGGATCAAGGATCCTAGCAGGCGATGCGATGTACCGAGCGCCAAGGGCACGGTGACGCAAGTGCTGTCCGTTCAATCGGTTGAAGTGGACGGCATTCCGAGACACGTCAGAGATCTGCGCCACGTCACAGACCAGGGCCCGGATCGGGCGGCCGCTCCAGCGCCGCACAGCGACCGTGACGACGGGCCGCTGCTGATCTCAGTACAGCAGCGCAGAAGAGCTCTGGGAGGAGCAGAAAATGACTCAGAGCCACAGCATGGACATGTGCGGGACGCAGACGGTCCAGACGAAACAGAAGTGGAAGAGGACAGTTTCGCGCAAAACGAGGACACTCAAGCAGATAGGGACGGAGGACTGACGCAAGTAGAAAGGACTGGTCTCAATGGAACACGCACAGCGGAGCCACCACCGGCCCTGAGGAGAAGCACGAGGAGGCGGCAGACCCGAGATATATGTAGTTGTGATCAGTTATGATCAGGGAGGAGTGTAGTGTAAATTCGGAATTAGGAAGTTCGTGACAATTGTTGTAGTGTTAATTCGGAATTAGGAAGTTCATGACAATTGTTATGTTGCCATGGCAACCAGATCAAGGAGCCTGACTTATTGATGTGTTGGTGAGCTCTGATTGGCTAGGCCCTAGAATTCAGGGCTTTTGCCGAAGGGGATTGGTGGAGAGGTCAAAATCGGGGTTCACTGGCAGTGGGGGAGCAGTGCGGTGGGAGCAGCGAAGGCGAACGGCAGGTCGGGGAGTCCAGGGATGGAATGGTGTCGTTATTGGGGAGTTCCAGCCCTCTGTGAAGTGCGACTACTTTTGTGTTAACATCGCTTGATATTGACAATAATATCTATCTTTTATCTAACTGGCTGTGAAATCGACCACAGAAGAACTACTGTGCCAAAGCACATTTAAGTCACTTTTATATCGGAGTCGATTTCTGAAGGAACCGCGGGCCGGAACACGATGTAAGTCGCTGATACCAGCCGCGGGCCGGACGTCAGATGGTCGCGGGTCGGATCCAACCGTCACCCTCCTGGCCGGATCCGGCCCACGGGCCGTAAGCCGACCCCTGACCTAGAAGGCCTTAAAATCGGGTATTAATCTCTGCGTCTCGTAACGGCGCACACACTCGTTTTTTCCGCGACGCGCTAGCTCCACCAGTGGCGAAACGGCGATGGGGGGGGGGGGTCGTACCCACCCCCCCCGGCCGGCGTGTATGTAGAAAACAAATAGGTCCGGCGAGCAGTAGCGGCGGAACACCTTCAATTAGGGGGGGGGGGGGGGCACGGCACTGCCGACTTTTAGTCCCATTCTTTCCATGCAACGCCCATAGGGCTACGTCTGTTAAAAGGCCAAAATTAACCCTCGCCGGACCTATTGGTTTTCTACATACGCGCCGGCCGAGGGGGGGGGGGGGCGGGTACGACCCCCCCCCTCGCCGTTTCGCCCCTGGTGAAGCTAGCGCGTCGCGGAAAAAAACGAGCGTGTGCGCCGTTACGAGACGCAGAGATTGGTACCCGATTTTAAGATCCTAGGTCAACCGGTGACCTCTGAGGTCAGGTCAAGTGCCCCAGGGTACGGTTCAGTTTTTGGTGAATAACTTCGCAAAAAACGGCCGCAGAGCCGCGATTTTGGCAGCATCGTGTTCGCCTCGCTCAGGCGCGTCGAATGATATACTTTTTGTCCGGGTCAGGTCAACTTGGGGCGTTGACCTCAGGTCAAGGTCAGGTCAGCACCCCCAGGTCACGAAGTTGGTCGAAAGGGGTCATGTCGCATATCATTCGATTCGGCAGGTCTTCCTGAGTCCATTGGTGGCCTTCTCGACTCGCTAGCTCAATTTGATCAAGAGTTATTGACGAAAAACTAATATGACCTTGATGACGTCATAAATGACGTCACGCAAGGTCAACATTGCAAAAGTGACGCATCTAACCTTGCAAGGAGTGCATCAAATCACGATTCTGTGTGCTTTAGATAGTTGGAGATCGTTCCCGGCGCCAGAATAGCAGTTTGAATTTTTCCCCATTGACTTATATAATGGTGAGGTCACGAAAATGACCTGACCTCATATGACCTTTAGGAAAAATCCGAGATATACAAGTTGTGAGACTCATAATGGATACTAGATCCTGCAAGTTTCATTTCCCTGTGACATCTCCTCTGGCAGTGAGGGCGTTGCGAAGTTGCGACATCTGAAGACCGTGCAGAGGTTCACTTATGACGTCATAGGTCAGTGACCTGACCTGACCCAAAAATGCGGTTGGTGTCAAAAGATGCGGCTTGGATCAAAGGTCAGGTATGCCAAGTTTCAGCTCTCTATCGCCAGCGTGTTCGGAGCTATCTCGAAAAAACCCTATGGGGGGGGGGGGCGGCACCCGCCCCCCCCCCCTCGGCCGGCGAGGGTTAAAGAGGGGAACGGTGCCCCGGTGCCCTCCCCGTTCCGCCGCCTATGCCGGCGAGGGTACAAGAGATTATATTGTCATTCATCGACCGCGAAAAAAAGAATGTCCGGAACACAAATGATATGGAATGTTGCAATTATCGGCTTCCAAATACAATAGCTTCACCTGACAGACCTCATCTACCTGACTTCAAAAGTTTCGATCATCCATTCCATGCATTAAATTCGTCAATCACTTGATGGTCTGATATTTCTTCATGGTTTTATTGAACCACATTTGTGGACGAATGTTTGCGGAGACGAAGATGGCGCAGACAAAGGTTTGCGGACGAAAATATGCGCAGACAAAAATTTGCGGAGGAAGATTTGCGTGGACGAAGAAATGCGTGGACGAAAAATGCGGACGAAGATTTGCGGACGAAGATTTGCGGACGAAGATTTGCGGACGAAGATTTGCGAACGAAGATTTGCGGACGAAGATTTGCCGGGACGAAGATTTGCGTGGACGAAGAAATGCGGACGAAGATTTGCGTAGACGAAGAAATGCGTGGACGAAAAAATGCGGACGAAGATTTGCGGACGAAGATTTGCGGGGACGAAGATTTGCGGACGAAGATATGCGCAGACGAAGATTTGCGTGGACGAAGAAATGCGGACGAAGATTTGCGTAGACGAAGAAATGCGTGGACGAAAAAATGCTTGACGAAGAAATGCGCCGACGAAGAAATGCGGAAACGAAGAAATGCGCTACGAATATTTGCGCTTACGAAGAAATGCGAGACGAAATAATGCGACACGAATAAATGCGCCGACGAAGATTTGCGGACGAAGAAATGCGGACGAAGAATTGCGCGACGAAGAAATGCCATACGAAGATTTGTCCTGAGCCCTGTTCGCTCGCTGTTTTTATATCAGCGTGCTGTCGGTTTTCCCCATATAAGGAATGTAACGGAAGTTGGCACAGATTCAGCACAGATTCAGCACAGCACAGATTCGGTAGGGGGAAAAAAGGCCCCGGTAGAGGGAAACCTTTATGACCCGTTTTCCCCTAGAAATGACGTCACAAAGAGGTAAAAATGGGTATCAATCGAAAGCTCTCGTTTACCCAGAAACAGTCCTGCAGGAAAATTCCACTTTTTTTCCCATAGGAAAGTTTTTACGGGAAAATCAAAATTTCGGGTCAATAGGGGGTCCCCCCCGATTTCGTTCAAAATCGGCACACAGGTGCCCCACCACCAGCCGAGAAACTTTTCCCAAAACGGTCCCCGTTGCATTGACGTTTAAGGCCCGTAAAGCCCCCTAGACTCGTAAAATATCCGTAAAATCGCCTTTGTACGGACAAAAAAGTGGTGCTATGGTAAAAATGGGTATCAATCGAAAGCTCTCGTTTACCCAGATACAGTCCTGCAGAAAAATTCCACTTTTTCCCCATAGGAAAGTTTTTACGGGAAAATCAAAATTTTGGGTCAATGGGGGGTCCCCCCCCGATTTCGTTCAAAATCGGCACACAGGTGCCCCACCACCAGCCGAGAAACTTTCCCCAAAACGGTCCCCGTTGCATTGACGTTTAAGGCCCTTAAAGCCCCGTAAACTCGTAAAAAATCCGTAAATTCGCCCTTGTACGGCCAAAAACGGGACGCTAGGGTAAAAATGGGTATCAATCGAAAGCTCTCGTTTACCCAGACACAGTCCTGCAGGAAAAGTCCACTTTTTCTCCATAGGAAAGTTTTTACGGGAAAATCAAAATTTCGGGTCAATGGGGGGTCCCCCCCGATTTCGTTCAAAATCGGCACACAGGTGCCCCACCACCAGCCGAGAAACTTTCCCCAAAACGGTCCCCGTTGCATTGACGTTTAAGGCCCGTAAAGCCCCCTAGACTCGTAAAATATCCGTAAAATCGCCTTTGTACGGACAAAAAAGTGGTGCTATGGTAAAAATGGGTATCAATCGAAAGCTCTCGTTTACCCAGATACAGTCCTGCAGGAAAATTCCACTTTTTCCCCATAGGAAAGTTTTTACGGGAAAATCAAAATTTTGGGTCAATGGGGGGTCCCCCCCCGATTTCGTTCAAAATCGGCACACAGGTGCCCCACCACCAGCCGAGAAACTTTCCCCAAAACGGTCCCCGTTGCATTGACGTTTAAGGCCCTTAAAGCCCCGTAAACTCGTAAAAATCCGTAAATTCGCCCTTGTACGGCCAAAAACGGGGCGCTAGGGTAAAAATGGGTATCAATCGAAAGCTCTCGTTTACCCAGACACAGTCCTGCAGGAAAAGTCCACTTTTTCCCCATAGGAAAGTTTTTACGGGAAAATCAAAATTTCGGGTCAATGGGGGGTCCCCCCCGATTTCGTTCAAAATCGGCACACAGGTGTCCCACCACCAGCCGAGAAACTTTCCCCAAAACGGTCCCCGTTGCATTGACGTTTAAGGCCCGTAAAGCCCCCTAGACTCGTAAAATATCCGTAAAATCGCCTTTGTACGGACAAAAAAGTGGTGCTATGGTAAAAATGGGTATCAATCGAAAGCTCTCGTTTACCCAGATACAGTCCTGCAGGAAAATTCCACTTTTTCCCCATAGGAAAGTTTTTACGGGAAAATCAAAATTTTGGGTCAATGGGGGGTCCCCCCCGATTTCGTTCAAAATCGGCACACAGGTGCCCCACCACCAGCCAAGAAACTTTCCCCAAAACGGTCCCCGTTGCATTGACGTTTAAGGCCCTTAAAGCCCCGTAAACTCGTAAAAAATCTGAAAATTCGCCCTTGTACGGCCAAAAACGGGGCGCTAGGGTGAAAATGGGTATCAATCGAAAGCTCTCGTTTACCCAGACACAGTCCTGCAGGAAAATTCCACTTTTTTCCCATAGGAAAGTTTTTACGGGGAAATCAAAATTTTGGGTCAATGGGGGGTCCCCCCCGATTTCGTTCAAAATCGGCACACAGGTGCCCCACCACCAGCCGAGAAACTTTCCCCAAAACGGTCCCCGTTGCATTGACGTTTAAGGCCCGTAAAGCCCCCTAGACTCGTAAAATATCCGTAAAATCGCCTTTGTACGGACAAAAAAGTGGTGCTATGGTAAAAATGGGTATCAATCGAAAGCTCTCGTTTACCCAGATACAGTCCGGCAGAAAAATTCCACTTTTTCCCATAGGAAAGTTTTTACGGGAAAATCACAATTTTGGGTCAATGGGGGGGTCCCCCCCGATTTCGTTCAAAATCGGCACACAGGTGCCCCACCACCAGCCGAGAAACTTTCCCCAAAACGGTCCCCGTTGCATTGACGTTTAAGGCCCTTAAAGCCCCGTAAACTCGTAAAAAATCCGTAAATTCGCCCTTGTACGGCCAAAAACGGGACGCTATGGTAAAAATGGGTATCAATCGAAAGCTCTCGTTTACCCAGATACAGTCCTGCAGGAAAAGTCCACTTTTTCTCCATAGGAAAGTTTTTACGGGAAAATCAAAATTTTGGGTCAATGGGGGGTCCCCCCCGATTTCGTTCAAAATCGGCACACAGGTGCCCCACCACCAGCCGAGAAACTTTCCCCAAAACGGTCCCCGTTGCATT